GGGGGGGGGGGTTAAGATACACTTTAAGGAAAAGGCCAATACAATCGGACAAATTTTGATTTTCATTTGATCCACCTGAGTGCAGGTGAATTCATGCAGATGAGTAGAACATGAGCACTAACTCTGACTCAGTAAGAAGAACAGAAACTTTTCTCTCAGGTTAGACTCAGGTTGTCAGTCTGACACAAACATCAAACATTTCCCAGTCCAACAGAGGAAAGTCAAAGGCTGCCAGTAACATGACAGGAAACAGAAAGGAGGGCAGTAAAATGTGTGCGTGAAGAACTGACTGTTGCATCACCTGTTTTCACGGCTCGGCCCGTTTACCATGGTAACTGGATGCCAATTGGGCTGTGAGTGTGGGTGTAGAAGGAAGAACAAATGTGTGTTTAGTCTATTAATTGTGTAAGACAAGGCCGGGCTCAGTGATACAGGACTGTGGAACATGAATGAGGAGGAATTCATGYCTCACTCAGCAGTGTTCAGTCTGCTCATCTTGTAAATGAACCTGAATATAAACTCCTCTCAGCCTCAGGTGTGACCCGTCGGTTCTGTTTGTCCTCCTCTGTCTCCTCACAGGAACAACAGAACGAGTCTGTCTCATACAGGGTACCGTCGAAGCTCTCAACAGTGTCCACAACTTCATCGCAGAGAAGGTCCGGGAGATGCCCCAGAGCGCCCAGAAACCTGAACCAGTCAGCATACTGCAGCCACAGACCACAGTTAACCCCGATCGGGTCAAGCAGGTTAGAATCTCTGATCAGTGCCGTCATTTTTACCTCAAAGGGCAGGATTCCTGCAGGATTTACAACTTCCAAGCTCTGGGCTTTGGGTTCAGACTGCACTGGTGGTTCTGAACATGATCAAGAACAAGGTCAGGGTGGATGTTCTGCASTGGTTCTGTAGAACTGAAGGGTCAATTTTCAGCTAAAAAAACCTGAAGTAACTCAGAATTCTTTGTTAGTTCTTGGTCTATGATTATTGTTTATATCATTTCAGCCCTGCAATGACAGAAACTGTGGTTTTCAGAGCCTCAGATCTGTTTTTCTGTGGGTTCAGTGTTCAGCCTAAACAACTGTTTTAAAACTCTGATCTCATAGACCAGGGGTGTCAAACTTATTTTCATCAAGGGCCACATGAACGTTATGGTGATCCTCGAAGGGCCAGTTGAAATGAACTTTGATGTTTCATGTTTAACTTTGACTAAACAGAATTTTAACACGTCCTCTTTTAAACACTGATAAGAACTAAGTGACTGACTAAATCTGAAATAAATACAGAAATATTATTTAGTTTATGGT